CGATAGGATTGGGAGGGGCAAGTAATCAAAACCATAACATAATGTGCGACCGATAGGATTGGGAGGGGCAAGTAATCAAAATTTTAAAACTTACAAATTTAAAACTTTTCACTTCAACATTTACTCAAGTGAGTCTTGTTTATATTCTACGAATGTATTCCTTTAAATCCCTCTACATGCTCAGGGGAGTGCTATATGAAGACCTCTTAGCATTATCATGTGGATGTTTTCACCATAGCTATCAGGCCAACTCCACTGAATAAATTTTGCAACACAACATAGTGGTTGATCACAGGTAGTTATTGGAGCAGGGTCGAGAAACTCTGTCGCTTTCTGTATATCCAAACCGTGTTTGATCATCAACACATGCAGTTTCAGCTTTCTCGCTGAACAATGGCAAAAGCCCACTTAAACGAGGCCGTAGTGGTATGGCACTGTAGGTGTTTGATGCATGATAGCCTACCTTGACAAGCAGATCCTTTTAAGAAGTTTTGAATCAAGATTCTGCCGGCAATGACCTAGCCATTCATGTACGTTCTTCTCTTATTGCTCTTGATACCTGAGAAGTGTTTGCTCTGTTAAGCTTGCATTGTCAGCACCATCCACAGGAAGATTGCCATTAGAGGTATTCAAGGACACAGCTGGAATGGTCGAATAATCACTTTGAAGTGTCACATCCCTCGGTATAGAATCACTAGTAAAGACCGTGCTTGCATGACCACTAGTTTGTTGAACTCTAACTTCTGGAAGCTGGAAGTTGAAAAAGGCTAATTCCGTTGCCATGAAACGATGCTTGCACTGTCATAAAGAAGGATTGTGATGGATGTTATCTATCCCCCCTACTGTAAATAGACCACTCCGGTCGTTTTGACATGGCCTTTACCTACCAATGCTACGCATCATCATAAGGTTAACGAACCATGCAAATCTGACACCTTGGCAAAAATGCCCTTCACCACCCCCATTTGGGACCAAATGCTTGGGTACCCCTTCGGAAATCGTTATTTTCATGGTAAGACATCTCCCGGCTATGCCAATTTTGGTGCTGGTAAGCAATTTGTCACGATTTTCACTTTTTTCTCGTTAACAGACCGGACTATTATCAGAACTTTAAAAATTATTCCAGTAAAGTTTCAGCTCAATTAAGATTCGAGCGATAATTGTACTAGTCCCCCTTTAACATATAAAACCTTTTTATTGGATCCTAAATAATAAAATACTGACTGAAAGGTATTGAATGTAATTTACCACTGTTTTCATTGTTATGCATTGCAACAAATAACATATCGCCATCCATCAAAATTGTTTTCCTATGTACCCTTATTGGTTCCCTTGTACGTACTGTAAATATTTTGCGATTGATAGTTATGTTACTTTAATCAACCACTAGTGATTATAATAATGTTTTATTTTATTAATTAAAAAGATTTAGTATGGACCGAGGACATGAACTTCTTATAGAGCAAATTTTTTTTAATTAATAAAAAAAAAATTGCTCTATAAGAAGTTCATGTCCTCGGTCCATACTAAATTGATCAAAACCGCATATATTTGTAAACGTTAGTCCAGATTGGAGAAATTTGAAAGCGGAGGCCTCTAGTATTAGTGTGGACAACGAAAACGGAGGCTTTTGAAAATGCTGACGTCATTTACACCGGCACCTCTGATTTTTGCATGCGAAGATTATATTGTATCATTTTCGATTGTATCTGCGTTTTTGAAAACTCTATGGAAACGCTAGCGTGAACGCGAAGCTTTCGATGCATTTCCGGTGAGACGAAAACGAAGGGTTCTAAAATGCATCAGCGTGGACGTGGCCTTAACTTTATCTGATGGAAGATGCTAGTTTTTTTTAAGCATTCAGTATATTATGAAATTTGTGAAAAGCTGTAGCTGACACCTTTTAAAAATGAATTGTAATTTTCCTTTGTGATAATCAGTTTGAATATCTCTCCTTTTTGTCTTAGTCAGCCATGGAAGAAATTAAGAAAGAAATGGAAAATGCTATCTCAGTGAATAATGCTGAAGAACTTCAGAGGATAATTAATAAGGTTTGCAATGAAAAGTCTTCAACAAGCACAGAAGAAGTAAAAGAAGTCCTTGGTGAATCCCTTTACCATGCTGCAATTTTGGGTCGCTACGAGATAGTTAAAGATTTAATAAAATATGGAGCTGATGTCAATTATGAAGACCCTTTGAAACAATCTGTGCTTTTTAAAACTGTCATGTCTGCAAAATCAGAAGAAAGCGATAAAATATTAAAATTTCTTCTTAAAAAGGGTTCAAAAATTAACCACAAAGGTATCAACGGCCAGTCAGACTTCATGTTTCTTATGGCAAGCAATCGCTTAAGCTATCTTCTTCTCGCGAGCTTTATAGATTCAGTTTGCGAAATTAATRAAAGGTACCTCCGAACAGGGGGAAGTTATCTCCACCTGGTATTGAACCGTCCTGATGATCAAAACAAAATTTTGATAATGAAACAATTGTTGGAAAAGGGATTGGAAGTAAACGGGACAGACAACAACGATGACACTCCATTACACCTAATGGCAGCTATTGCGGATTGCGACTCGATGAGATATTTGGTAAATAATGGAGCAAATATTCACGCCAGGAATAGGTTAGGAGAAACTGTTTTGCACACKTTGGCAAGTAGTAACGAATTTGAAGGATTTCAAGATTCACTAAACTTCCTTATGGAAATGGGAATCGACATAAATGAAACAGATTCAAACGGGAAAACTGCAATACATCATGCTCTAATGTCAAAAGACACAGATGAAAAGGCAATTGAAGAATTTCTTAAACGTGGCATTAAAATAAATGTGAAAGATCTGTGTGGAAGAAATGAGCTGTACGATGCTGTTGAGGAAGTGGATGAGTATTCACCGTCAGATGTAGAACGTCGATCTGCCGTTATTAGACTTCTGACAAACGCTGGTGTCAATGTAAATGAAGGTGACATGTATGGTATTACCCCTTTGCATCTTGCTACAACGAGAGAGGATCTTGAAATCCTGGTCACATTACTCGATGCTGGTGCAGATGTCATGAAAAAGTCTAAGTCGGGAGCAACTGCCCTTCACTGGAGCTGCAAAATATACAACATGGCACATGTCATTATACATTGTTATAGAAACGAAGGCTATGACATTAACGTTGTTGACAAGTATGGTTCGACAGCTTTACATTGGGCAGTATGGTTTCGAAATAATTCTGTCTCTCAAAGCTTATTGCAAGTCGGATCTGATTACACCATTAGAGATGACTCTGGAAACACCCCTGTCGATCTGGCCAAGAAATTGCGCTTTTTTGAATTTTTGGATTTGGTAGCGGACGACAAGTACAAAAATTTAGAGGGTTTGACTTTGCAAGAGCCCTTCATCAGGTGTGATGACAGTGATCCCTTGCATGCATGTCCTTTATTACATTATATACGAAAAGAAAAAGGAAATCTCTGTGTTGACGAGTACCTTGAGCATCTCAAACAGCATGATGCATCATTGGTAAAATGCATCAAGGCATCGTTGGATATAGAAAATATGGGCTTGTTTTACGACATAGAAGAAAACAGATCTGTTCCGGAAATTATCGAGAACGTAATGCAGTGTCTGAATAAACGAGTTGAACAGCGTAATCCGTTGTTTCGCTGTGAACTAAAACTCTCAGGTAGTGTGTACGAAAAAACGAAAGTTAGTCTTCCCAATGAGTTTGACTACCTGTGGATTTTCATAGAATTCTGTAAAACTTTCTCACCAGTTGAGTCGCCAGCTTTTCCCGAAAGTTTCGTCAAATTGAAGTTAACAAGTGCAGTTGATGAACCTCGTTTCAGAAGGTATCTGACCACGGGAAACTTACTCGACAGTCGTTTGCTAATCCGCGACTTCCATAGTACAGTCAATGAAGAGCTCATGTGCTTATTGAGAGATGAAAATTATGGGCAATTTTCTAACATTGTTTGCCTGAAGCTTTTGAATGAAATCTTTTGCTCGAATTCCAGCCTTAGCTTTCAGTTTTTTGGAAAAGAAGCGAAATGGTTTCCAATATCAATAGATGTAGTTCCAACAATTTGGTTTGAAGACTGGAAGCCACGAGAGTTTAAAGCCTCAGACTTGGGAGCACCTGCCATAGCTGGACAGCATCCCTTTTCTTTTTGTGTGATAATGAAAACACCAGACCGATGCCATGTTGAAGAATTCTCTTTATTCTTTCGTATTTCATATGCATATCTCGAACAATGCATGATGAGAGAAGTCCCCAAATTCATGAAAAAGGGATACATCCTGTTGAAAATTCTGGGGGAGTCAGGCTATCTGCCTAAAGTTGTGGATCACGACAATAATACAACACTCAAGCAGTATCTAACAAGTTATCAACTTAAGACCTGCTTTTTGCACGAGGTTGGTTCATGGAGACAGGGTACAGATGGCGAGGAGGGCCTGAAGGAGTCAACAGACTCTGAAAAAAACAAGAGCATCGCGCTTTCTTGGGCCAGGAGAATAGTTGACCGTTATGAGAAAAGTGTCAAAGAAAGATTTTTGGCAACTTTTTTTGAACCGAAAAGAAATTTGCTGGGCCTGCAGGGAAAAGAAGATGTTATGATTGAAAGTGACATCTTCCTAGGAATGGTGAAATTACTAAAGTACTTAATACACGTTGTTGACGGAATTGTTGACGGATCCGGCTAAAATGCAAAYGGTGGCCTAGCATCGAAATTGAATTCAATTGATACTAATTTAATCGTTATAGCGGAACCTAACAATGATGGATCCTCTTGAACAGCATGCCAAACAAAGTTGTGTTTTCAAAAGCGAACTACTTATACAAGTAGTCGTGCAGTCCAAAATTATTTTAAAACGTACTAGTGTTTGCACTGAAATTTAGTTTCCACAAGTATTAACTCGATTGTCGGATTTATAAAGAGCTGTTTCATAGTAATATTAGCTCWTTCATATACACTAACTCAGTTTTGTGTGTAATGACGTACTATCAGAGATCATTCTATAGAGGTTGGTTTTCTCTACTCGACGAGCTAAATTGGCCATCAGTGAAAAAGCGAAGTCGGACACAGAGTACTTTCACTCCTTTACCAGATTCAGTATAATTTAGTTATCTTGCCGTTGTTTTTGTGTATGTCTCTTAATAATATCCTATGATTTTCAAATCACTGGTGAGATTTGCTATCTGATTGGCTAGCAGCATTGCGATTCATTTAGAACCGATTTACTCTTCATCCAACCCAATAACTGAACAACATGAACATTAACAGAACACGGCGCGAACACAGTCAGCGCCAAGGTCACGGCACTACCTAAATATGCCAGACCAATCACATTGAGCGAGAAAAAACAGCTAATCGTGGCAAGGCGAACGCGAAAACTGCAAAAATTTATAGCACATTTATATCGTTTTTCACAAGACCGTTATGACATACTAATAAGGACCGTATCCGGGGGGGGGGGGAATAGAACCGGTTTTGGATAGGGATGTGCCGCAAAAGGCAAAAGGTATAAAAAACCCTAACCCTGTTTAAGACACTTCAGAGTGAAAAACCCATACCCTATACAAGACATACAAAAATTTTTATACCCTATATAAGGCACGCATCTCACCATAGTTAAAGTGTTATGGGAGTTTAATAACAAAGCCTTCAAGGATCTGACTTCACTCTCTACCACTGATAAAAAGAGACAACTCAAGGACATCCCGTTCAAGTTCCACTTCACAGGTTCAAATTGCACTTGAAACAGGAACTTTGCAAGACTCGGCTTCAAAACTATTTAACRACCTTCCAAAGGAACTAAAGCTTGCAGCTAACTTCAAGTCCTTCATGACTAAAGCAAAACAGTTATTGAAAAAGAACCCTCGTAATAGAATACAACAGATTCTTTAAAATATACTATATCGATTATAATCCACCAATTTTAACAGTGAGTGTGTGTATTGCGTATACATGAGTGTTAAGGGAGTATTTAGCTGGGCATGGGATATCTTATAGCTGGGCATCGAAGTATAACTAGGTTTATTAATTATTGTTCCTTGTGGTCGCTCAACAAACAAAAAAATGTGGGACCGATCTATGGAATCATCTAACACCACAGGGATTCCGATTGATTTCAAAACAAAATTCGCAAATGCACAGAAATAATTAGGACAAATTTAAGGAAACATCTTTATATAGTCAAAGACGGATCCCAACAAGAGAAATACAAAATTAGTACGAAAGTTCATCCCGACCGGGAGGGCCTACTGAAATTGAACAACAATAGCTTTGGAAGTTTTCTCAGTAAAGCATCCCGGTCGGGTTGAAATTTTGTACTCATTAATCCCCTAATCTTGTACCCAGAGCAAACGTTCCTATTGGTCTTTCTTGTTACTGAACAAGAGGATAAACACAAATGTAAATAAAACACATATCCTCAGATCTAATGTTCAGTTCATCATTTTTAGATATAAATATTGTATATATCAATAATTTTAACCATGTAAATCCACCGTATATTTTATTTAAGGTGGATAAATAAAGCTTATTATCATAAGAGTAACGTCTCTTTGTACGAGATTGCTCATTTTGCTCGAAAATGACGATTCTGGAGCCGATGTTCTTGACCTCAAAGGGATACACCAGGTTTAGGAAAAGCAGGTGGCTCGTTTTCTATCTCATGACAGCCCTGCGATCGCATAATGCAATTGTATTTGATTCCAATTTATAAAATCGTCCTGAATTAAAACCGTTCGAAGGCGATGTCGACGGCTGTACTTCTTAGTCGTAAAACCCGCTTCAGACATGGCCATGTACTACTACAATACAATACTATTTGTAACTATTTACGCTGAAAATCGAAAATTGCATAATCCCTATACATTCAATTATGCGAATGTGTACTGAAACATACTTTGAAAGTCCACGGATAATCACTGGAACACATGAATATTCTGCACAAAATCGTGGCAAACATTGAACAACAGAGAACTCGAAACTGGGAAACTGGCCAGGTGATCTGAATAAGAGCGCAAAACATGACTTTCAGTCATTGTTTTTTTAGCCTGCTCATCAAGGATTGGACGCGCAAAGACGCATTGGATTGATTCTTTTTCCGAAAACACGATTCGCGATTTGATAGGCTAATAGTTTTTCTTCGCATCACCTGGGGAGTATAGACCCCTTACATGTGACGTCAAAGCAACTCAATTTGGAGGGCAATTCTCAAGAGATTGAAACTATCTTGTTTTGTGGGTTGTAACTAAAAATATGTTAGGTTTGAGTGGGTGGGCCACCAAATATATATTTTTTTAAACCTAAAACCCCCATAACCGACCCTTACTAAGCTCTTGATCCATTTTTAGCCTTTACCTTACGCTAGGCGTTTGAGTTTAGAATAAAATCAAGTATGCGACGTAGAGTACCAACAGTTGGGGCTTCAGAGGGGACGGTCATCAGTAAAACTTTGAACTTGGGATCGGTTCAAACGCAATCTCGTACCCCGAGCCCACGTTCCTCTTTGTCAGTGTCGAGAAACGAGAACCCTCTGGGTACGAGATTAGGGCAATCCTCTTTACTTTGACGAAAGCTGTTTCCTTGAAGAGCCGTAGCCACTTTAAGGCAAGCGATGCAGTTGCCTTGAGAGATTGTCACAATGCACTTTAAAACTCTAAAAGTCACAGTTCTAAGGGTTTCTAATGGGAAAAAATTTCTTGCGATCGAGGGGGGAGGGGGGGGGATTATATGCTCCCCAACCCCTAGCTGCTTCCGTCTTCGCCACTTGTTTGCGTCGGTCACCAATTATTCAGTCTGGTTACGTCCCTAACTTGTTAACTTAATATATACGACGGTTTTTGAAATTCTTAAAGAGTGGAGGGCTAGAACTTTTTAAAAAAAGTTTTCTACGGATCCCCTAGTCAGTTGCGATTAAAATACGATTATATAAAAAATAATACTCTTTATATTTATAATCAAACATCGTTTGAAACAAATCAAACATGTAAGAAAAAAAATATTAAGCTCACCATTGTTTTTTTAATCAATTTTCAAATCTGTTCATGTTTAGCGCTGTTTTGTGCTGAAAAACATTCGGAATCTCCCAATTATTGATTTCGATTAAACCATCGGGCAGAATTCTATTGTTCTATGCGACATGAACTTACAGTTGAGTGATTTTCAAAGATCGGTATAATTTCACGAATACATTTTAGGATATGCATCATTGATTTAAAAGGACGGTCGGTTAACACTAGTTCACACGTTTCAAAAGGACGGTCGGTTACCACTAGTTCACACGCTTCAAAAGGACGGTCGGTTAGTACTAGTTCACACGCTTCAAAAGGACGGTCGGTTACCACTAGTTCACACGCTTCAAAAGGACAGTCGGTTATCACTAGTTCACCCGCTCAAAAAGGACGGTCGGTTAGCACGAATTCACACGCTTCAAAAGGACGGTCGGTTATCACTAGTTCACACGCTTCAAAAGGACAGTTATAACTAGTTCACACGCTTCAAAAGGCAATCGGTTAGTACTAGTTCACACGCT